AGGAAATCAACACCACTATTGCTCTGAATGATCTTTACAGACAGAAAGACGGTTAGGAAAAAATTAGGGCTTTTCTGCTAAGATATTATGAAACATCTTTGCTCAACCTCTTAAAGTTTTTGGGTCATGCATCTGCCTAGTGCCGAAATCCCCACAGTATAAAATAACCGTTTTCCAGATGGCCCTGTAGGCACAAAACGTGGTCATAACCCCAAAATATTGTGCGGACTAGATTGCTCATCACGGTGTCATTTATAGCCTCGTGTTAAATAAGATTCGGCTTTAAGTTTATTTCAATTGTGGTTATCAGATATCACACGGAGTATGCCTTATGTTTGTAGTCTGCTAGCACATTCAATCACAAAATGGAAGGTTCGAAACAAACGGAAATATAATGCCCAGCTGTGGAAATCTGTTGTTCTATCAAAATGTTAACTTCTTGGGCCAAAAAACAAAGCAAGGTTAAATAAAGTCGTTGAAAATCAATTCGACAGTAAATGCGACTAATATAGTTTCTTGCCTTACCTCATACATGCGCATTTTCCGATGAAAATCTCCCGTTATGTTTTTGTGATTAATTTTTTGTTCCTTTTTGTCCTGCTTATATTTGTTGATGAGTTCTCTTATTTTTTCAATCTAAATGAACTCTGTAAGCATTTTTAGTTTATGTTTCACCTCCGCATTTTGCTCATTAACGTATGTGAATAGTGCATAATTTTCCTCCTCAGTCTTTCGAAACTTTTCAACAATTTTCTCGAGCTTAATCTCCCCAAGAGACTGCTGGATTCTGCGAAAAGCTTCTTCGTGAGATTTGAGTTTCTGGATTTGCAAGTGCTTTTTATTTCTTGCTTTATTTTCTGAAAGTAGCATATAAAATTGTCATAAAGCCAAAGAAATTACAAAATAAAATAGTCTTAAATATTCTTCATTTCTTCTGAAGCTTATACTTATATGTACAGTGAATAGCTGCCGGATATTGCTGAGGTGTTGAGGTAAATTTTATTTTCCTTGCAAATCTGTACAAACGCACATTCGTCTAACTTTCATAAGAAACAATTAACAAATGAAAGTGAAGGCCATTATATGGAAGGATTTTGTCTAACTATTTACGTTTTTAAATGCATGACATGCAATTTAATATTTGAACATTAAAAATTGACTAATATTCCATTCGAAGGCTTTCAACTGTTTCTATTATTTTTCTGTAGAATATATAGTCCATATATATAGTTTGTTGAAAAATTTTGCAACTTGTTATGCGTTTCTTTAAGGATCCTTGGATTATCAATCTCTACTCGCGTAGTGTTAGACACAATGGCAATAGTATCCTTCTCTACTGCGATCAATGAATAAAGCTCTTTACTAGATCAGTTTAAAATTGTGTAACATCTATAAAGAAACCAAATGTAAATAGGAGGCTATTCGTGGCGAGACAAACCAAAAATAATTAAAGAACCTTTCTTGATTATGGTGGATTCTGGAAGTTCGGTTGACCTTTCCTTCTCCTTTTCTTGCATAAACTTTTTTAGTTGCTTCTCGTGGTCGATAGTTCGACTTAAGTCTCTTATTTCACTTTCAAAAAGAACGCTTTCTCTTTCATTTTTCTCCCTATACGCCGCGCACTTCTTACGTGCCTCTTCCCTGTCGATGCATGGAAAGTTAAAAAAATATCAAACCTTTGGTCATATGCCTCAAGTGCTGCCTTTATTAGTCTTGACTTGTTCCAATTAATTTCATTTAGTGACTTCTGTAATTTTTCCATTCCCTTGGAGTACATTAATCGTTGGTTGAGAAATGTCGCAATAATGGTACGTTCTTTGTCATTCTTCACTAAAAGCATCCCAAGATCTTTATTGGCCTGGAAATAAGTTTCAGTCAAACCTACTTTCTCTAGTTTGTTTTCAATTATTTGCATTTTAGTTTTCAGTTTTGTGGTTAGTTCGGCGAGATTAAGTTTTTCTTTCGAACGAAGTTTTTTCAGCCGGTTTTCGCAGTTTTTAATCTAAAAATAGAATGATTTTTATGAAAGTTACGTCAATATCTAATGCAAATAATATCTGCTTATGTTGTTCCAGCTGGCGAACTAAATTTTCGTATGTATCTGCGGACGATTTAAGTCCGTCAAGGACTTTTGCATCTTTCCTCTTGTTTTCGCCACTTTCAATTAGTGAAAGTTCAAGTTTTAAGTTTTCATTTTCTTGCTGAAGCCATCTGAATTCATTCCTTAAAGAATAGCAGATTAGTTAACGAAGCTTATTCAGATTACTCGCACTTCGCTAGCTGATAATTTGTTTGGTTAATGTATTTAATCCTTTCAGCTTTGGCGACACGAAGTTGAGACAAAAGTTTTTCATATTCTTCTTGCAGAGCATTGTCGGTGTTATCATCATGATCAGAAAAGGGTGAAGAGGATCGAAGCATTTAAAAAAACACGGCGTCCGTTGTTAAGTCTGAAGGTCTAATCCTCTTTCGGAGTTGGGATGTAATTACAGTGGTGATGGATTATAACACAGCCTTAGTTCAGTGATTTTCGTCAATTCAATCTTCGTCAAAATGTAAGAATCCTTAAAGCTAAGCACCTAAGCAGCCAGGTAAATAAGTTGGAAGCGGATCTTACGAAGGGTTTATAAATATACTACGTGGCCTTCAAGGGAAATTCACTAGTTTCATCTGGACGGTTTATGCTGAGTAAGAAAATACTTCGATATGCAAGGCGGATATGCAACACACGCTTTGTACTAGGGGGGTCCCAAATGGCCCAGAGATATGGATGTTAGGTCAATGCGAGCAAACTTGTGCACCCCGGACCGAGTAAGGCTCATCTAGGGAGTTCAACGGCGTTTGCCTATATTTCCTTCATAAACTTGACTTGACTTGACTTGACGGACACTGCATACCAGAATCTGGATAAAATCTTAACCTCCAGGATAAATTGTGTTGGCCTGAAATCTGTCGCGGTTTGCATATCAATCGTAATCCTCATATCGCTTTGCCTTAATCATTCTACTAAGCGTTCATGGAGGTGCTGTTAGTGGGATATCCTACCGATGACATACGATCGTTTAGAACGCACGTTCATCGGCAATAAATAAAGTTCCGGGCTCTGAATAAGCCTTTTATATCATAATAGAATTATTATTCTCCCAAGACTACGTAAAGAAGTTGGGTATGTTCGTTGTCCTTCTTTTTTGCCCATTTGGGGGCTTTCGTGTGATTCTCACAGGTACTTATGTTCAGTTTATTGAGCGAAAAACGCATGAGGTCACTTAATTAGGGGAAAAAGGCTTTCGCCCTTGAGCTACCTACCTAACGTAAAATGGAGTGTATTCAAAAGATAAGCCATTCTTGTAACCAGATTTCAAAGCGCACTATAGAATAGGACAGTTCGGGCGGGCGTGGCAATTATGAATTTAAATCCATTTTGGTTCATACTCATTTTCAAACCTACATCTGTTAAGGTTTCTTTTAAGGCATTTAAGCGATGATTACACCACAAACTCCGTAGGGGGGATATTCCATGGCTTTCCCACTCTGACAGCGAAGGAGAACTTGTACACATCTAGCCTCGGTTGTTATAAGTGCAAGTTAAATGGGTGACCTCAGAGACTGGTCATGGTAGGCAAATTCAAAAAATCCCGAAACGCCAGATAACAATCCAACCAATTAAAAACGTGGAAAGCCTGTAGGAGGTCTCCGCTAATTTACTTTTACCTCAAAGGCAACGGGTTAAGGTTTTATAACAAGATTGCATATGAGAAGGGGCTTTGACTCTTAACCATTTTGGTGACTCTCCTATGCACTCTTTCGAGACTATTCTGACCTTGAGCTGTCCAGAGTCGCCAGAATTGTATAGCATACCCCAAATGCGGCCTCACGAGTGTTCCAAAAACTTTGGGAAGGTGCTCTTCGTCGGAACCCAAAAAGGCTCTCCTGGTGGTGTGCAACACGGACATTGCGCTCTACTTTGCTTTTGAGCAACGAGAGGATGGATTAAAGGAATTTATCGACAGCACACCCATGTCTTTTTGAACTCGCACGTCTCGCAGAGCTGAAACGTTGAGAGCATAGCTTTTCATGTGGTTAAATCTGACTGGATTGCTTAAGCGAAGTATTGTACACTTATCGACATTGAACCGCAGAAGCCAACATTGCGAGCACTCTCCCAAACACTTTGTGTTCAATGCTATTCAGTGTATATAAGGGCGATAGGCTGAACCTTCAAAAACTATTTACAGATAACTTCTAGCGAAGTATGTGCATGGGTATCTTATACCAATCATTGATTTCTACCAAATACAGTCAAGTCTCGGGCCACGAGCAGCCCCATATACGAGCATTTTAGTTTACAAGCAAACCAACAGCAGAAAATGTGTTTCGAACTGAACTTTCGCTCAGTTAATGAGCTGTCAGTGCGTGTGTGTGTGTGTGCCGGTGTCCTTCACTGAGTCTTCCTCCCAGCGCGCGGGTATTTGGTGGCCTGCAGCCAATCAGTGAACTGGTGCAGCTTTGATGGCTACGTTTCGCAAGACGATTGTTTCACATGATGAGCTCGGGACCGGAACAAATTAAACACAATGACCGAGGCTGTACTTTATATAGCCAAAAAGTAAAGGTTAATCATGTCTTCTTTTAAATGTCTCAACGCTTTTAGCAACAAAAACCGAAGAAGGTAGTTTGTTTCAGTTTTCTTTCGCCCGATGTGTGAAGACGCTATCCAACACTTCGTCTTTGGTTTAATGTTTATTTAGTCTGTATTGGGGACCACGGCGATTTTTCGTTTTTACCAATTAAAACAATCAACCATCTGTAGAATATAGTCTACTCCTCTAACGAGTTTGAAGGCGATAATCCTATCTCCTCTTCGTTGCCATTCGCCACTACAACTTTTCTCCCGCTAAATCCTCCCCTTTCCAGGCCAACCACGCCTGTGAGAGCTGTAAAATCTAGTAAACCTAGGAAAAGCCCTGGTACATATAAGTCGGTTATCAAATTCAGTCATGTCATTACTGATGGGAATCATGCTAACACTTCAGCATTTACAAAAGATGCAAACACTCCCGTTAGAACTTTTCCACACCCCAAAACTGTTCAACATCACCAAGCTTACTAATTATGTTAACAGTTTTTCAAAACCACTCATGCCATTTTCAAATGCATGTTTTCCGGCCAATTATGATAACTTCCACCATAATCCAATTTTAAGACCAACTCCTACATTTCCCGGCCCACAAATTAGGTTTACTTTCCTTTGATTTCCAGCAACTATGCCCTTGTACACTAATCCTACTTCATTTACCAATTACATGTCGACAAATTGTAGACCAGGTAAATTTTGAGAACGAAAATTATAGCTCATCGTAAGATATCTGCCCCCAGACC